TGTGTCCGTTGCGACACACGTCGAGTTCGATTTTTATTAGTCCAACAGAAAATATCAACACTGGTAATTACGGAGCTCCGAGTCTGTGATTCTTTGGTTGGTGCTGACCGGGGTACCGCGGTCAGCACGGTCCGTAAGGCTTTCATACTCCACGTTCCTCGAGCCATTGACGAAACTGCTGCTGGGGGAGATGTCGATCCTTCTTGTGTCTGCCGCACAGTCCTGTCGATCACCAACACACTGCCCTAAACTCTTCCAGTCAATCTACGCTCCAGATCCGGGTTGTGCGTTGAAACGTTCTCGAAAGGGGAGAGCAAGTTCACTTGCTCCCAACAGTCTTGATAGTTCCCAAAAAGCGTGTTTGTTTAGCTTCTTACTGCACAAGACGTTATTGACCGCTCACTATCGGAGGCTTATCAGCAACGAAAAGCAGAACTAAAAGTTTTGGCCATTATGTCTTACGCTCCCTCATGTTGCCTAAAAATTGTACCTTATATTCTGGGAAATTAATCATTTTGGCTGGACATGTTGCCCGGCTCACTGATAGCGGTTAATGTAATTTACGTTGATTTGGTAGCTTGCAAAAAAGAGAACGGCCACTTTGCTGCTTCTAAAGAAATTTTATGATATAAACAGAGCTGATACAGTTGTGTTTTCATCAATTTAATTTTTGCCTTATTTTTCAGATAGAAGATCTCGAGATGCAAGTGAAAAAAGCTTTAGAAGAATGTGAAGAATTGAAAAAGAACTTGACTGCCTGCAGGCATCAACGGGACGCATTGGAAAAGAAGCAGCAGAGTGTACAGAATAAGCTAAACAAAGTAATTTTTGTCAGAGCTGCTGGCTTTTGTTATCGCCAGAAAAATATTTCGTTTTTTATATCTTTTGTTTTTTTTTACGTTTTTTTGATCTCTATGTTTGTTTCATTACGCCTTTGCCACTGCTTCATAAGCATGGCTGGCTTTTACGCACGTACACATTCACATTTGAATGATGCTTTTTCGGTTGTGTTAATTCCAGAGTCTTTCTTATAGTTCTCCTTTTTTGCACTACGGTTTTATTATTAAATTATTCTCAATATCACTGGATTTTACAGACACAAGTGGAACTAGAAGAAGAACGAGCTATGAATAATCTTTTGCGATCTGATCAAGCAAAATGGTCGAAAAAAATAACAGAATTGGAGGAAAGAAGTGCGAACGAGCAGAAGAATCACACAATTGTAAGTTTCATTTTTATGTGGCTGAAATTCAGGTTTCAATGACTGGATTACTCATTTGTTTGATTTGCAGAGAGAAAAGGACCTCGAAGAACAAATCCGAGATTTAATGATGCACATTGAAGCACAAAATAAAATACAAAATGCTTTGGAAACGCAAGAAGTCACCGAGCAGGTTATTTTCTACGCAATACTCCGTTCTCATTGACTTCCACTACTTCAGAATTCTAGAATTCACTCCTTTTTCCATCCCACTATTCTCGGGTTTTTTTAGGAAGTTGCTGAAAGCACGCTTGCTGTAGCGGAACCACGACAGACACCAGCGAGAACACGAAGACACAGGAGGAAGTAATTTCATTGTTTCCTGTAATCTCTGACAGCTTTTTTTTCTATTAAAGCTTAACAGTGATGCCATCAGTCTCTTTCTGTCGCGCATACTAAAGCACAGTACGCGAAATCATGAAAATTGTCTGTTAGCTGTAATGAAAAAGCAATGAATAATGTGAAATATAAAGCCCTTTCTTAGTTCTTGCACCCTAAGATTTCAGCATTCTAGCTTCTCAGATCCCCGAGTTATGAACCTACCTGAAAAAAATTTTGGCGGGCCCGTGCACCGGTACCACGCTTACCCGGGGGATGGGTTTTAGTGCATTAACACCACGAGGGCGGGGAATATCACCCTCATCACCGAACAAGTATAACTTACTTTTTCCGTGCAGCACATTATTAGTTCAGAAACATGGGAACATTCTAAAAATATTAGGCTACTTGGCGCTAAGTTTGAGTAATGCATTTCAGATTATGAGTGTTTAGTAGCATCTACTTCTACAGCGACTTGAAAATGCTGTATTCCTACGTGACTCTCTTATTACTGCTATTAATTGGAAAAGTGATGAAAATTCCCTCAAGCATCTATGAAATTCTGTACTGGATAATATTGATATCTGGTCTTTCAGTGTAAATTCCTTGCTAAAAAAGTTTAAAATGCGGAGATAAATTCTGTATTCTCACAACTTTTAAATTTGGAAGAAATAAACGAATTATTAGGAATAGTAATGGAAAAATAGGCTATTTTATAACAAAATTTGAGGGAATTTGCAACAAAGAATATTGGAAATTCTATAAAAAATAGGAATATTAACTTAGTTTAAAATTAGATGTTTTATAGCAAAATTTGAGGGAAATTGCAAGGAATATAGAAAATTTTGTAAAAAGTGAAAATATTAATTTGACGTGAAACTGTATTTATAATATTTTGGCTCACGGTAAATACTGGAACAAGCAACAAACCGTTCGGTGGGTGGTCAGAAGCCTTCGGACTGATTTGTCTTTTATATGAATTTAGCGGGCATGGATTTTTAACACTGCCTAGATAAACATATTTTTTGTTAAGACAGTGTGTGGGATTGAATTAGAAGTACCTAAATTTCACCGTATTTAGTACATTGTCCTTCTTCCTGTCCTTCGCCGAACTTTAAACAGTTGCTTTACTGTTTTATCATTTTTTGAAATATCGGACTTCTTCAAAATTATAAAAGCCAACAGCTAGTTACTGCCTTACGTGCAGTTGCCAACTTGCATTGTCACTTGCTTCAATGCTTGCCTATTTTTCACTCGTTATTTCATTGCCAAAACAAAATTCTTGTATATTATTGCTGTATAAACTTGTCGATGATGTGCTGCCGTTATTGGTTACACCTGAATGCGTTTCTATTCCAAAAGGAGTTTTTCTGGTATACTGCAAAAAAAACCTTGTTCTCAGGTTGATTGCGATACATTCCACTTATTTGCTTTTTGAGATGAAT